ATGCACGTCAACTGCTAGAACCTATAACAATGTAAAATATTTTAAAATAAAGTTAAATCTACTTTTAATTACCAAACACATAACAATGAATTTAAATTGGGCTAAAGACAAAATGGGATTGCCAGAAGAATGGCAAGAAATAACGTTTAGTGATGAGAAGTTATATGGCCCTGATGGGTTTTCATATTATTGGCATAATTTAAGAATAGAAAGCAGAGTTAAACAAGCCACGAGTCTATAATTATTTGGGGTAGTATTGGAGGTAAATAAGATAGATGGGAAAAAAACTAATTTAGTATTTGTTGAGAAAAATATGATTACATTTGTTGCATTAACTGGAGGACATAAATGGTAGTTTCAACAATATAATGCTCTCATTCATGTCTCAATATCAACAAAAAATTGGTTAAAAAAAAGTATTGTTGTAATATTAACTGGAGTTTATGTTGTCCACATTCAGATCTCATTAAAAATTTATGGGGGATTTATCAGCCATTGTTTATCAAAATAAAAAACAATATGAATCTGTAAATCAATTGAAAATTGCAATAATAGATACATAGGATAAAATTAAGAATGAACAATAATAAAAGTAATAAACTCCATGCTAACAGAATTTTCAAATAATTCTGGCCAAAGGAGGTGAATCAAAATATTAAAAGTGTTGAAAATATATTTAAAATTTATTTTTATGTAATTTTAAAAAGTATATCTTGGTAACAAGTAAGAAGTGATAACTTTTATTATATTATTATTAAAAGCTAAAAAGCTTGAAAATGATATTTTTGTAATTGGTTTGAGACATATAAAACTGTTTTCTAATAAAAAGTGAAATAAATTTTGAGAAAGCACAAATTTGCGGTGTTCTTATACTTTTGTATCGATAACATACTATATACTGCAAGATCTCTTTTATGCGTATTATTTTTATGCGATTTTTTAAGTTGTGCGGTTTGTATTTCATCCAAAATTTCTTGGATAAACATACATATAGGCTTGTTTAGGAAGCCCGCGTATAGACAGTCTCCAAAAATCGTGGAACGCTCAAAGCTCACTCGATTTGTTTCACTGACATATAATGTTTATGGATGTAAAGGACAGCTAGATCTACCTTAATCGCTTTAGTTCCTAGCAATTTTTGATATAAATGTAATTAAACANTCGTGGAACGCTCAAAGCTCACTCGATTTGTTTCACTGACATATAATGTTTATGGATGTAAAGGACAGCTAGATCTACCTTAATCGCTTTAGTTCCTAGCAATTTTTGATATAAATGTAATTAAACATAAAAAAATACTTAAAACTGAAAAAAAAACGAAAGAAATGCGTTTATTTTGAAGAAAACGCTTCAAAGTTTAACTTCCTTTGTCTCGCCCTTCTGTGAAATTTAACAGGGATAAGTCATTGTTTACACATTTGGATGATCTTGAACACAGCTGAAGTTGGATTTCCCGGGGCATTTTCATAGACGACGCGGGAGGACAAGGGTTTAAAGTAGGGTGAACACTAGCTGGCCATATATTTTTAAATATTTGTAGAAAATTTGAAGACTTAAAAAACATTCCAAAAATTCAAAAAAAAAAGAAATGTAAAATTATATTACTTTTCAATAGAATAAACTGAATTAAGTTTGAATGCAAGTTTATTTTGGGCTTTTATATAAATTTCTTTCAGACATTTGAAGTAATTTATTACGCAGCCTATTTCTTTTAATTTCTGCAAACTTTTTATGCGGTTTTAAGTTAATTTTAACTCGTTGTTTCGGTTTCATGCGATTTTAGAAAATTACGGAACGTATCCCTACCTTTACAAGGCAAGTAAACTCTCTTTTTATGCGAATTTTTTATATGCGCTTTTCTGTAGAACGTATCCATTGCATAAAACGAGACCTTACAGTATCTGGAGAGCAAGATTGTTCTTTACCCCTCAGTTCTCGATCAACTTTTAATTAATTATAATTAAACATAAAATATACTTAAAACTGAAAAAAAAACGAAAGAAATGCGTTAAGTTTGAAGAAAAAGGTTCAAATTTTATTTTCCTTTGTCTGGTCTTTCTGTGAAATTTGACACTGATGAGTCATTGTTTACACAGCTTGGGTCGTATTTCCCGGGACATTCTAATAGACGCCTCGGGAAAACAAGGGTTTAAAGTAGGGTGAATACTATCTGGACCTATATTTTTAAATATTTTTTAAAAATTAAAATATTTATTGCGATTTCCGACCCCCCGATTTAATTAAGCGTATATGTAATAAAATATATTAATTAAAAAAATTAAAAAACTATTGGAGGTCGTATTTGACACCAGAAAGTAGCTTTAAATAACTTTACCGAAGTCAAATCCGTGCATTACAACTTTAGAACGATTAATTAAATTTGATAAAAAAAATTGCATTAAAAGATAATTAAGCGTTAATCGCGCGTCATTAAAGGTTGATTAAAATCGCGATAAATTTTTTTTTTGCGCGGGTATAAATTTTTGAAAAAATTTGGAGACAAAAAACATTCCAAAAGTAAAAAAAAATTTTTTTAAGTAGCCTTAACGACCGAGTTTTTTGTAACGCTACGTATACTTTACGAGTTTTCTCGTCAATGGGAATGAAGTTGTACTTTTCCGGCATCATCTACTGTCGACAGTGTAAAAGTCCGAAAATGTTCAGATGTACCTCTCCAAGCACCTTTTAGATTTTCATATGCATAGGAATTTACAGCCCCTACTTCTCTCAACAGAAGTATGTCGTAATAACAAGAAAAACGCATTGGAACTTATCTGGTGTTTCTCGGAGGAAGCACGACGCAAATTATAGTAAAAAATAATTATTTTGTGTTATTAAACATCCTATAAATACTATTAAACAGTTAAATTTGTTTATTTACCTTTGCTGATAATCCTCAATGCAAAATGTATTTGCCATTTTTTTAACTTATTTACTGTGAGGCAATGCGTGAGGTTCACTGAGTCACGTGATGTTATGAACGGGCGCCTCAACGATTTTACTTTTACTTTAAACCTCAAACGTGTATTTCTGCTCACCGTACAAGTTTAACGTTTGAACTTGCGCCTCAACCTCTCTAATATATACAATTCTCAGTACGAGAATTGTCTGGAAAAACCGCTTTAATACAGCTCGATATGAAAGCCGAGATATAAAGGTTAAAGAAGCTATACATTTGTTTTTGTTTTTATTTGCAGTTTATATCAGTTATATTATAGAAATTTATGTGAGGTTTTAACAGATTTTAATTTGTAAATAATTTTATAAGTGTCTTTCTGTTTTCTCTATTTCCTGAGGAAATATCAATAACACATTTAAAATTAGCTAAGTTGCGAAACTACAGTGAGGCCAGGGTAACAACCTGAAATCTAATTAAAAAACTCCGATTTTCACATGTTAACTTCAAATTTTGTGGACAGATTTTCTTCATTTCTCAGGTAACATGTTTTAGATATTAATGTTGAGTTGAATACAAAATATGCTTAGGTCAGGTCTTAACATTTAAAGTAGGGTCTGTTTTTAGTTTGGTTTCTGCTTCATTCATTTAATACATGAAACATGAATAGGAAAATTTACAGAAATCAAATATACTAAAATTACCGGACTCTGAAACGAAAGAATCAAAGATTTAAGACTAGTAATTAAAAAAAAATAAAACCATTTTAAAATACTGTACAAATTAATCTGTGTAGTACGAAAAGTTAGCAACCGAGTATCAGCTTTAAGGTATATTAATTTGATCAACGAAAAATCTCTATAGTAAATTTTTAAAATTTTATAAAAACATTTATTTCCAGTTTAACAGCATTTTACAGAAATTTATCAGCAAGCGTAACAGTAAAATTCATTAAAATTACAGGAAGAAATTTATCAGCAAACGTAACAGAAAAATTCATTAAAATTACAGGAATAAATTTCCAAACTACATTAAAATTTTTAAAAAATTACTCGTTACATTCAATAAGTAAAGAATAAGTACCGATTATCCTAACATTTGTCTTTACTTTTTTCTTCTATTTTTAGCGATTTACATATCGACGCAACAATAAAGGATAAACAACAGCATAGCCTACGATTGTAGGACGTCCTGCTTGTATCTGATTGTAGGACGTCCTGCTTGTAGGACGTCCTACACGTTTCGAGTTGAAGAACCCGCTTGCATTGATGGTTCTTGCACGTTTCTAGTTAAAGGACCCGCTTGCATCCATGGTTCTTGCACGTTTCGTGTTGAAGGTTCCTCTTTTATCGATGTTTCCTTCACGTTTCGAGTTGAAGGTTTTTTTTGCATCGATGGTTCCTGCACGTTTCGAGTTGAAAAACCTGCATGCATCCATGATTCTTGCACGTTTCGAGTAGAAAAACCCGCTTGCATGGATGTTTCCTGCACGTTTCCAGTTGAAGGTTCCTCTTCCATCGATGGTTCCTGCACGTTTCCAGTTGAAGGTTCCTCTTCCATCGATGGTTCCTGCACGTTTCGAGTTGAAGGACCCGCTTCCATCCATGGTTGTTGCACGTTTTGACCAGAAGAACAAGTTTGCATCGATAGTTCCTGCAAGGGTTGAGTAGGGGTTGTAAAAATCTCATGGTCGTTGTTGTGCTGTAATAGTTTTTCTTCAGTTGTAAAATCTGCAGGACAAACTGTACATTTATACGGTTTCCTTGAATGCATTTTTAGATGATGAAGAAAAGATTTTTTAGTTTTCAAACCCTTAGAGCATTGTCCACACACATAAGGTTTCGCTTCTGGGTGGATGCCATTCATGTGTTCTAATAAAGCTTTTTCAGTTACAAATCCCTGTTGGCAGACTTTGCACCGATGTTTATCCATTGAATGATTTAAATTGATGAGAACGGTATAAATATTTATCATGAAAAATCACATCACAAAGAAGGCATTTATAAACCATTTTTCTTCTTGGATAATCTGTAAAAACGTGAAATCACTGCATTGTAATTACAAATAAAAATTTTTAATAATGTTTTTAAAACTAATGTAACACTAAACAATGAAACAGCGAAAATAGAAACAAATTAAATTAGTCATTTAAAGTTATGAAGGTTTAGAATAAAAAATAAATGCACCTTACATGTAAAATCAATTTTCGTAAAAATGAATTTAAAAAAAATTTCGAAAATAAGGAAATTTATATGTCGAAACTTCTTCAGTCTCCATTCTTACAGATTAAGTACAAACAGGCTAACAAAACTCTATTTTAAAGTTCTTTAATAACTAACTCTTATATTTATTTCCTACTATTAAGTAATATAAATTTTAACTTAATACACAACTAAGAAATTTGTGAAATAGTGACATAAAATGGATACTTTGTATACTAACTTAGTGAGAAACGTAAGGACTACTCTTCTCAGAATATTCATTTTCTAAAAAAATTTCCTTTATTTCTAGGTGGATTGATAGAAAGTAAAATTAACTGCACACAACTCGTGCTTAGATATTAAGTTTAAACGTTCACATCAATAATAATCAATAATATTAAGATTTAAACTTAATTGGTTTTAATATTCGAACTAGACGCATCCACTTTAAATGCATTCGTTCAAAGAGGAGAGAAGCAGAAAGCTAAAAAACAAGCTTAATTGTCTGCTTACGATGCTATTTATTATAAATGTGTACAAATTGTACATCATTATTATATTTACACATCGCCTTATCTATTCTACTTAAAAACCTATCATTAAAAATATATTAATTAAGAAAAAAATTTTAAATTTTCGAGTCGAACAGATTGGATGAGAAAAAGTAATGTTTGGGAATCATTGACTTAATGTTTAGTATTGATTTAACTTTAAAATATAAATTATTGTCATACATACCTAAATTCTTTCGTAATTACGACGTACCAAGCTGAAAGTACTTTCTACACAAGAGTTACTTCACCTACCGTTTAAATAACCATAAAAGTTTTTTAATTGTGTTTATAAGGAATAAGTAGAAACTTAATTTTTTGGTTAATAAACTACAGAGTATTTTTATATTGGTTTTTATGGAAAAATTAATAATGTTTTAAGATTTTTGTAAAATTATTAATATATTATTCATTTACATAATTACTTTTCTAACCAGTACTGTGTTGAACTCAACTCGAAAATATAACGATATTTATTTATTCGTTAAAATTATTTTAAAAATATTTTTTAAACTAAAATATTTTTATATTACATATTAATTGATTAAAAAGATTTTTCAAACGAAAAGAAATTATTTATGTTAAAATTGCTTTAGCTTTAGTTCAATGTTATTCAATTTTGAGCAAACTTTGCATTCTGCAGTAATTTTCTGATTTAAAGTCCAACGAATGTTCCTTCTTTAAGCTTAATTTTGAAAACTTTGTTTAAGGAATTTGAAATCAGCGCTATCTTAATCCAGTGCATTTACGATTGTTTTTATTAATTCAAGTTTTATATACAGTGAAGGAAACGACTTTTTTGGGATGAACTAGAAGTATATTTTGTATGTTAGCTTGAAACAATCAGAACAAATTTGTTTTTTTTTGAGCCATTCTATCACTTTAACCGGTCCACCACTGGCCTACTAGTAGCCAAGCAGTTATGTTCCACGAACACTAGACGTTCTGTAGTGGGTTCGTGTCTTGCAATGACGGACTGGCCACGTGGTGTTTTCCGGATTTTCTCGACGTCTGTAACGCTTGAGTAGGGACCAGTTACCCTTAAAAAAACCTTTCGGAAGGCATTATTTCCCGCGTTACTACCACAAATCTATTATTTCACTGACAATTACATCACACTTTATCACGGTACGATATTGTTTAAAAGCTCATGCCAAACTGGCTACTACATTACAAGATAAAAAGTTCAGCATAAAGTTTTTATTTTATTTAAAATTCATTTTTATTGTAGAATTATCTAAAAAACAAACATGACAATAAGATCAATAAAAATTACAAAAAAATAAATTTTCAAATAACAATAAAATTTTTAAACAGTTTGTTTTGTAGGTATTTTTGCATGGCATATTATTAAAATTTAATATATTTTTAAAATTGTATTTCAGTTAAAATTTTGTATACAAACATTTAATGTTTTTTTGCTATTTTTCTTAACTTAAACGTGATTTTTTCACCTGGGATTTATTTGGAAAAAGACAGTAATTATAAAAACTGAGTGGTGATTGAGCAGACGATGGTCCCGCATGCATTTCTTTTTCTTCTAGAGTTGTAGTTGAGGCCTTTCCTTTTTTCAAATGAATCTTTTACTTTTACTTAAAATTTCTCCATTATCAGGAGTTCGACTTGTAGATGGAAGACAGTAATTATGGAAGCTGAATGCACTTCCAGATGTGGAATAGTTAGGAACTGTTTGTATTTCTTTTTTCTTCGAACTTAGTTAAGGAAGAACCTGCTTGCATCTGTTTTCCATCTGGAGCATTAGATGTAGATGGAAGAGAGCAATTACCAAATCTGAAAGGGAATTCATTTGAAAAAGGGCCTGCTTGCATATCTTTTCTTTTTGAGTTTCAGTTGAGACCTTTGCTTCTCTCAAATAAAATTCATTATGAAGCACATAGTTTGCTTTTTTAGTGAATCTTTTATTACAGGTAACACAAAAATAATAAGATGTTACAGTATCATAAATTTTTTTTGTGTTTTATTAAGTGATGTTTATTGTCGAAACATCGAGAACAAAGTTCACATTAAAAATTCTTTATTAGCTGTATGCAATTTTTGATGATGAATCAAATTTGATTTATATTTGAATGCAGTACTGCATTGTTCACATCTGTAAGGTTTTTCTTTCGAGTGTTTTATCATGTGTTTTTGTAAACTTGATTTATTTCGAAAATTCATTTTGCAGGTTTTACACTCCTAGATCTGTTTTGGTATGTGAGTTTTGATATGTTTAGCATAAAGTGTTTTTACTGTAAAATTATAAGGCACTCTTTGCATCTATATATTATTTTTCTTCACTTGGAGGAACTGTGAAAAATAAGAACTGCATTTAAGGTACGAGTTTGCTTTGAGCAATGGTTCCCAAACTTTAACAAAAACTTAGAAAGATTTAATAAAGAAAAGAAAAGAAAAACAAATTAGTCGCGAACATAAATGAAGTACTGTACACAATAGAAAAATTAAGCAACGAGTTGCCAACTTTCTTGGAACCATCTAGTAGTGTTATCTGTTGTTATATTTTATTAATTAAAAGCATTCTTTAACTATTATAAAATTTTAAAAAGCTTAATTATGAGTTAGGGATGGATTTTATACAACATTGTAAATGCTAGTAAAATCGTCATTAAGTCTGACCCTACTGGAGACCCTACTACACATGACCCTCATTATCTCTTCCCCTCCTCAATCCTTAATTACTATAATTTAATTTTAAGAATTAAATCAAATATAATATTAGCAATATTTAAAGTACCCGTTTTTACTGAATTTATTCAAAGTGCAAAGCAGCTGTAAGCAAAGTAATAGATCTTTGCTTCTAACACACGTAAGCAGCTAAGTATCCATTTCTTTGTTACAAACTGCAACCATATAATTGATTTAAACATGATTTAACAATTGTAGAATTAAAATGAAATTGATAAAAAAAATTTATTTTACAGGCAATTAGTCTTTCAGAAAAATAAATTTGATGAGACAATAAATGAGTTTCATATTAGAAAAGTTTGGAAACATTAACATATTATTATGATTATTATGATTATTATTTTAAAACAAATTATTAATTTATAAATGCAGTTTAAGTTTTAAATACTTTTAAAGCATTTTTTATACTTACACAACTTTATCTTAATTCACAAAACAGGAAATTCGATCTTTATTGAAAATGTGTTTATGATGAATGAATAAAATTTTGAATTTATATTAATAATTAACAGTTTTATTTATATTTGGATTGTTAGCAGAAGATTGGTTTATCAGAAATTTACATAATCCATCAGTTTACTGAATCGATGTCATTACATTACGTAATTATTTTAAAGTTATTTTAAACCAAGTTAAATTCAATTAATGACAAAACTCTAAATTATACATTAATTAATTTTTTAATAAGTTTATGAAGTAAACTTTTATAATTTATTTAAAGATTTAATTTGAATGCAGGTCCAACAATGGCCAAGTGGTTTTATTCCAAAACACTGCGAGTTCAGTTGTGAGTACGCCCCTTTCCAGGACATGGAGTTTTCCAGATTTTTTCCACGTCTGTAACGCTTGAATAATGACCAGTTACCCTTAGAAAAGACCTCTGGGAAAGCATTTACTCCTCGGCAGAGTTACGTTGTCGTAGCTCCAAAAACAAACAAACAAACATAATTTTAATGCGGCATTTACACGATAAAGATAATATGCTTAATATATGAATGTATACGGTCCACCAGTGGCCGAATGAACAACACCATTGAATAATGGTAATTAATTGAAATTCGCGCCTTGTCAATAGGCAAACCAAGTATTGTTTTCCTGGTTTTCTTTAGGTTTGTAATGCCAAATTGACTAATTTTTTTTTCAGTTTCCGAAATACCCGTTTAATTATTAATCAATGTCAAAAGAAGAGCCTACCTACAACGTTCTTATTGCCATTTGTAATCATGTGACATAACATAATAAATTAGACGGTATTGTTCATCGGCCTATTTGAAAAGCAGAATTATTAAATAAATAGTAGAGCATACAATGAGTTCAAATATCACGAATTTGGCGCTTACGTTCATATGGAAATAATCTCTCCAACTCGTGACTGAAAAATTACGTTTGAATAAAAAAATTTGAAGAACACACCACGGTTGACTGCTTTGTCAGAAATAACGAATTGTTCTGCTCCTACTTCCTTTACATAAAGATATTCACATAGGAAACTTTCAGTCCCGAGTAAATCATCTTGTACTTTAAATTACTAATCCCACTTCGAAATTATTATGTTCCGTATTTTGTTCTATTCCGAATTACAATACCAAGCCGGTAATTTTGCATTTATATCTAATTTCATAATGTTATTTATGATTCGTGTTATTGTAATACACGGTATCCAATTTCATAGGTAAAGCAATTGTTGCGGATTAATTGTCATCAGCGGCAGGTGTTTTAGCGCGAAGACGCTTTCAGTTTTTTAAAACACTATAAATTCTAACAACAACTAAAATTTTCATTAAGTCTGATCTCAAGCGAAGTATGTCAGGTTTTATATCTCCATCCCCGTGACTCTTCACAACCAAAATCTAACAGCACCAATGTCCCTTATATACAAGCTACCATGCCAAATTTCTTTCTTTATCTTCACCCCGTCTTCAGATGTTAAGCGATGTAGCCGCCTACCCACCTATACAGAAACACAGACTCCCATACATATACACGAAATTTTTTTGCTGTGTTTTTGACTATTTCGAATTCAGGTGATCTTAGCACGCTAAGATTTGCAAAGAACTTAGAGGCTCGGGTTTGTCAAAATTCCATTACTTTCCTATGTTATAAATACATAACAGCAAGGAAAGTAAAACATAAACAAGGGGAAAAGAAACGAGAAAAATTATGGTAGTCTGTGTTGTTATCTATTTCGTTTAACCTCTTGTTAAATAATGAAAGGTAAAACAAAAAACTCGAGTTTTTCATCATCTTAAACAGTGTTCTATTATTAATATAATCATGTTTGATGAATTGAGTGACCATGTATTTTGATAGCTATTACCATGTATTTTTAGAATATGTTACATCATTATATACACACGCAAAGTAGAATAAAATATGTTTATTGTATTTACAGAACGTAAAATATAAACAGAAGGGTTTTCGCTTATTGCACTTGAAATTAGAATCTTCTATAGTGACTGCTACATGATGCACACATGTACTGTACCACAGAGAAAATCTGACTTGGTAATCACTGCATAAAAGTTTTGATTGTGTAATAATTAAAAACACAGTTTTAAATTATAGTAATTCAGAACAATTAGATACATCTTGCAAAACTTTAAATATGTAAATCTACTGATGCAAATTTTTTTAGAATTTCAATTGCTACAGAGCGGTATTATTAAATTTAGAAGATGAAGATCGATAATTTGTAGGTCTACAGATTGGACGTTCTGTAAAGTAAATATCTCGAATTTGTAGTAGCATGTTGAATACAGTATATAACGCATTATACACCTGAAAATGCAAGAAATATTATATAAAGTTTAATTTCAATCAAATTTACTAATAAAATTTAATGTTGATGAAATATATGTCATTCTAACTACATGCAAATCTGTCCCTTTACGACATAATCATATGATATAAGAGTAACTTTTTACGTTTTACTTCAATTTAATAATATAATTATAAATAAAAAAGGGAGTTGTGTGCACAAACGTGAATAAATTGCTCATAAACATAGACAGTACATAATACGAGGTAATATACCTGTACGGGTGTTTCTTTCGAAAATACAAAACAATCACCACAACTAAGTCCAATATTATTTTTTTGGAACTTCTTCATGAAATTTAACATCTGTAACAAATATGTTTTTGACTTTATTTAAAAACAAATATATAACAAATATATTCGTCTTTAATAACGCGTAAAACAAATATTGTTTTACACGTTATTAAAGACTTCTATACCAGATTCTTTTACCTTTAGTTTAGTTTCCAGAGTTAAAGCAGCAGCTCCCAACTTTCTTATTTCTTGAAACGAACCATAAGCCTATAAAGGGGTCAATACATGTCATGAGATGAAATACTGACGAAAAATTTTTTATGAAGATTTTACTTACCGATGCGCTTATTTGAGCAACAACGAAAGAAGCAATGAAGCCGAAAATAACGTAGACTACAGCGCAAAGAGAAAACATAAGATATACTTGAAGCGGTAAATGTGAACCCCAAAAGACGGTGTTGTATATGAGCAAGGAAACGAAGGTCAAAAGGATTCCATACTCGAAAAATATATATTCGTTCCATTTCTCGTTAATTTCTTGAAGGAAATCGCATAATTCGACGTGCTTACAAATGATTTCGTTGATATTTCTTTTCAGCCCTACAGAATTTATTTGTTGTAATTCGACAGACAAGACATCAAATCTCTTTTTTATTGCATAACCAATTATCATACAAACAGAGAAAAACCAACTTATTAAACCATATTCGAATATCAAGCATAGGTTATTGTATACAACGCAGAATACGGCCCTGGTGTAACTTGTTCGATTCTGGAAACGTCGTAGAAGGACTAGGTTCGTAATAGCCGATACAGTTAATAATGTACAGTTGTAAAATACAATGAGATAAAACGCCAATGTCTGATATTTTCTAAATTTTTCTTTTTCTCCCCAATAACTTGTTGTCTTCAATTCCATCGCTATTTTCTTTTGTTTTCCATATTGGGCGGTTAAACCGGAAATGAGTGATAGACTTGCAAATATTGCTTTTATGAACAATGTACTATCTTTAGTCTTGTAAGTTGTTTCCAAAGGACTACAGGCGATAATATTGTTTTCGGTTGAAAAAGAATGAATTCCGGTTAGTAAAAAATGGCTGAATATAAGAACGTGAATGAATTTGGCATATACAGACATGATTTTGGACTGCTTTGGAGTGAGTTTGTGGCATTTACAACGCTTGAATACGATATCTCCAAACAGAAGTGATAAATTACATGATATATAAAATGTACAGTAGAAGCAATCTTCTCTGATTTTTATTTTTCTGATTGACCTAGGATTTGATATAATATTAATGTCGTACTAAAATTATTCTGTGTTAAAATTGAAAAAAAAATGCATTCGTTAAATTAAAAATATAAATATTCAATTTAAATTTAAGAAATTATTCATAAAATTATATACATTAGTGCAACAGATTATGAGTAGTTTTAATACAAGTGTATTTTTTTAATTTTGATGTTTTTGAAAAATTTATGTTAATTATCAGTTTAATTGATTACTTATTCGTTAAACAGATACTTCTTACATTACGTTACATTATAATCAGAAGAAATTCTCTATTCTGTTACTTCAAGTGCAAACATTGTAAATAACAATCCAGTAAAGCATTTAAAAATTACATATACGTGAGCTGTTTACAGCCCGGCACACATATTTGTAAAATCTAAGTGACTCGTACAACATGAAATTCATATAAAACGGAATTATCAACAGTGTTATAGGGGGTCGACTGTATATGAAATTTTATTTTATTTATATAAAAAGTATGATATAATTTATTACAAAGAGGACAAATTGAATTTAATTTTTTAAACTTAACCGAATCAATATATAATATAAAAATTCCATCATTTGACATTGAAAAGTTAGGCGTACCTAAATCCTCAAAAATTGGCATGCCATGCCCATACCATACCTATTTTGTTGCTCACTGTTGTCTATGTGATGTGTTCTCATATAAATTTTATATGGATGAACATGGTAAATATATTTTTTAATATTATTATATAAAAATTAGTAAATATGATTACATTTTTTTTTTAATTTGTATAGGTATATAATTATTGTGTTATTGCTAACAATGAGGTTATTTTTTTTTACTAATGAATGAGAATGATAAAATAATAATACTATTATTAATTAAATTTTTTTTTATTTTATACAGAGTTAGAGAAGAAAATATTATTTTGTGTTTTAATATTATGTATTTTTTTTAAATATGTCAATGAAGTATAGATATAAAAGAAAATATACTACGACTCATCTTGGTACAACTTATTAAATGGTGAAGTTTGTGAATGATCATTGAATCTACTGGGTGTATTTATACTTAAATTTAACAGAGGTGCAGTATTCAATGCCAATACTATACCAATTTTGTTGCTAACTGTTGTCTATGTGTTTTAATATTATGTAATTTTTTTAATAAAAAAATAATAAATACTAGATTATATTTAAATAATTTTTCATTGAAGTACAAGACTAATTATATATTATTGATAAAGTGAATGAAAAAACTGGAAAACCTTAAATAAAATAAAACTTATTTGATCTATTCATGTAAAAATAAACAAAAATCGTTTTGGTGTAATATTATTTCATACAATTATTGTGTTTTAATTTTATTCGATACTAGCTGCAATGACCTGCTTTTCTGGGTTTTTATTTGTGGGCAAAAAGTAACGAGAGTGAAGATTAAGATAATTACATTATAGCCAATCTTACCCGTTTTCACAGAATGCAACAATTCGGTCCCCCGTTTCCAGTCTAATTAGAGAATTTTTACCTGAGTCTAAATATAAGTTCGATTTCCCGCAAAAAACGCGAAAAACCGCCTTTAAATCTTGCATTCTGCTTTATATAAACAATTCCTTTGTTAACATTTCAATTTTTTTACACTTCCATTGTTAACACTTCTATTGTTACACATCTTCGAAGTCAACCACTTTCAAACCCATATCTTTCGCACCCTTATAGCTATCGAGACTACCACATACAAACACCATTCATGTGCGATGTGTAGTTTTGGCTGAAAGGTGAAATATAAGGACACACACGTCCATTTATATATGTATGTTACCGCTAAAGCTCGGAAACTCCTTAATCTGCAGATTACCTAGCTAATCTGAAGATTAACTAGCGTGATCCGTTAAAGTTGCTAAAATTGTTCTATTTCTNCTGTAACCACCAATATTTACTAACATTATTATATTATTACACACAAATTTACTAAGAAACCTTCCTGCAAACTTTCAAAATTACAAATGTTAATGTGTGTGGAGAAAACACATTAATATATGTACATACAGAAAATCTTACGATTTTTTTTGCACTCCTCGATACTTCAAGGTCTTATGAAACCATAAATATGAAAATCTTAAAAGACAATTTTTTGACCAATTGCCATACTTTTTTTCTTATATATACGACAGAGCTGAGAAAGTAAAAAGCAAGTTTCCAAAAAATATATTACTTTACCTTTTCCTAGATTGAAGTGATCTATGGTTTAAATAATTGTTACGAAACATTATAGATGTGTACAAGAAGGATACAGTCTTATTGAGTCAGTCATTTGTAGTTTATTGAATACCGAATGTTATAATATAGTTTCATAAACGGATTTATGTATCATCTGTTTATATTGCTCTGAAGAATATTATATGGAATTTTATTAATGGTACACAAGTAAAATGTCTAAAGCATTCGAATACTTTACTTCCTGTTTGAATTTGTCTGATATGTAGTTGAATTCTTTATTATTGTTTCATATTTAACATATTTCTTTATGGAATAATGATAAGAATTAGTTCTGAACGGTATAGTTGTCATTATTTAGAAGATATTTCAAATTTTCAAATAACGTACTGTAACTGAAACACAAATGGAATGTTTAAAACTAATGCATCGTAATATTGTAATAAAACTTTATTTACTAATAATTCTGAAATATGTTATTTTCAAAATCGCTGTATAAATGCTACGAGTCTTAATTCGCTATGAATAATTAAAGTACACGATTAAAGTAGTAAGTGGAAATTTTAACGAAACTTTCGATTCTGTAAATTGCAATGCATCTGCAACACATTGTCGATCTATCTATCCAGTGGCATCCTCTCTACAGAGGGTTGCATTTGATGAACTATTCCTCTCCATGTTTTTCTATTCCAGGCTTCTCTTAAATCCTTTCCAGTCCAGTCTTTGATGTTATCTCTCCAAGTCTTTCGGGGTCTTCCTTTAGTTCTTGTCTCCTCCACCAGTCCCTCAATCACCGTCTTTAGTAGTTGTCCTCCTGATCCTCTAGCCAAATGTCCAGCATATCGTACCTTTCTTTTTTGGATATTTATAAGCAGTTTTCTCCTCAAGCCCAGCCTGTCCAAAACTTCCTCATTTGTTATTTTCTCTGTCCAACTTATTCTTTGGAACTTTTCTCAAGCACCACATTTCAAATGAGTTAATTCTTTCCATCATTTCATGCGTAAAAGTCCATGCCTCACATCCGTATGTTAGTACACTCCAGATCATTGTCCTTAGGATTTTTATTTTCAGTTTTATGTTAAGGCCTCTGTTTGTTAATATATGATAGATCTGATAAAAGGCAGCTTTTGCTTTATTAATTCTGCTTTTAATTTCCATTTTACATCTATTATCACTTGTTATCNCAAAAAAATATACGTATTTTGGAAATGTTGAGTCGAATTAGTCTAGAATCGATTAATTTTATGAAAGAAAACCTTTCAAACAGCCGTAGTCCGTAAACTATGATTCCTACAAAATTGATTCATAAAGAACGGAACGTATCTACCGTCTTATAGGGGGATCTACTGTATTTTAAATTGTCAAATAACGTACTATAACTGAAACACAAATGGAATGTTTGAAACTAATGCATCGTAATATGTAATAAAAGTTTATTTACTAATAATTCAGAAACATTAATGTTATTTTCCAAATTGCTGTATAAATGCTACAAGTGCTTAATTCGCAATGAATAATTAAAATTTACAAAACTGAAATTCACGATTAAAGTAGTAAGTGGAAATTTTAACGAAACTTTCAGTTTTGTAAATTACAATGCATCTGCAAGACATTGCGAATATGGATAAAAAATTAATACCAGTTCTTGTATATTTATTATTTCACGGCTTTAGAGATAGTTGAAATCTTTCGAGGCCACTCTTTCATAAACTGTAGATTCATTTTGCATCATTATCTGCTTCTTAATTTTGTTTGTCATAGGTTATTCAACGTTCTGTTTGTTCCCTTTACTACTGTCTTTTTTGTTTTACACTAATACACTTCTAAGTATATCTTTTGCATAGATTTCATAACGTGTCTGCACTTTACAGTGTCTAAGCGGAGGAACTCCTAAACGCTGGCGCTGCCCAGCAGTTTTCGAGTGAATAAAATTTCCGAACATTGCTAGTTTCTCAATTGTTTATGCCCCACCAATGCCTCTTAAAATTTTTAAAGTATTTTTCGTGTTTTTAACATCAAAATAAGAGATAATTTATCATGGAAAGTATTCTTAGTGGGCATTCCTCTTGCATATGACACGTGTGTTACTTTGCCTCCTGTCATTAATCTAATCTATTCCAATCAAATCCGTCTGGACCACCAAAAAAATCGGCAATTACATTTCGATGTCGAATGCACAAAATAAAAGCGTAATAACAAAAATATCCTAAAAATTATCAAATAAAGGTTTGAATCAAAGTGACTTAATGACACGGCTACGTAAAATTGATAATTTTCGTTGTTGCAAAATCCGATTTATTAAATTTTTTATCGTGCTTTGATCGCGAGAAAGCGATGTGCACATACCAAAGTGTGAAAATCATGTTGTTAAAAATAAAGAAATTTGTCCATTTAAAATAAATTTGAATTAGTCCAGACATGCTAGAAGAGAACAGATATAAAGAATGTTTCAATTGATAAAAAAAAAACTGAATTTGCCTAACCAAGCACAACTTCCTGGAACTTGAACAACCTATAAATCCATTAGTTCTCTTTTCGAGGATGATCAGGCAGTAATGAATCTAGTGGAGTTCTTAAACTCATTGGCACCAGCTGGATCACCACCTAATAACACGGAGCTAAAGATTGGAGCACCAATAATGTTTTTGCGAAATTTGAATTCACCAGTTATGCCACAGAATAAAAATGATGTTTTATCTCTGTCTCTCGCAAAGCCGAGCAATTTTTACTTTTACAGTTTTATTATTATAAATACTCAGGTCAATAAATGTACAGTTTAGTCACTAGGACCATTGTTTTTATCACCCTCTCTCAATTCAACACCATTCAAAAATCCAAGTAACTTCAGGCAAACTGATTTCATTGTTTCTAAAAACTCGTATAACATTTTTATTTATTTCAAGTTCAAATCCAAAGAAAAAACAATACACCACAAGTGAAAAGCTGTATTCATAAAAGAACAAGATAAAGACCCGTTAGTTCCTCTGACTGGAATTCTCTGGAATGCTCGGTGAATTGTTAATGAAACCGTTACATTTCAGACTTGAAACTTCTAGTTTTTTTTGAAATGTTTCTGACTAAATGGCTCACCAGTGGCCGAGTAGTCTTCGTTCCCTGCAATACTGCAAGTTCGGTCGTGGGTTCTCGCCTCGCTCAGACGGCTGGCTCGCTTGGATGGATGGCAACGTAAAATTTTCCGGTTTTTCTCCACATCTGTAACGCCTGAATAATGGCCAGTTTCCCTTAAAAAGTCTTCCCGGAAAGCATTCCTCTAGGTCTAGGCAGATCGCCCAAGCGTTGCGTTGCCATTTCGTTTGCTTAGAAAAGAAACTAAACGTTTCTGACTGGAAATACTCACCTGCAATAAAAGTAAATCTTCATGAACGAATTCAGTTTCTAAATAACAACATTGTTTTAGATATTTTTCATAACTTAATCTATATATATATATATATATATATAAATGGACGTGTATGTCCCTATATTTCACTTTTCCGCAAAAACTACACATCGCACGTGAATGGTGTTTGTATGTGGT